TGGAATGCTTCATGAATTTGCATGTCATCCTTGCACAGGGGCCATGCTACTCTTCTCTGTATTGTTCCAATTTTAGTATACAAATTTTTAAGCTGTGCAATAATCCAGGAAAGAAGTTACGAATCCTAAATGGAGGCAGTAGCAATGTAAATGGGTAAGAATAGAAGAGCTAAAAAGATATTTAAGATGTGGCATATACACATTTAGGTGGGGTGGGAGTAAAAGTTTTCCAGTAAAGTGGGGACCAAATTCTGTTTTTTGAGAAGAGCTGCATCACAATAGCATTAAAAACAGGTCACCAGTCTTCATTTCAATCAATTCTAACTGAGAAGGTCTGGGGTGGCAACTGGGAATCAGTATTTCTTGGAGGTTTCTTGGTTTATTCTGCAGTGTAACCAAGGTTGAGAATCATTATGATACCTAAGAGTGTGAGCTAGAAACCTAAGAGATGCTAACGTGATAATGAAGATTGGAAGAGATTTTTGGTTGGGGGATAAAAACAACAGGGGAAGTTTACTCTGAAATCTGCAGTTGGAGTTCCTATGGGAGATGTAAGTTAGCTGGGGATATTGGTTTGGAATTCAGAAGGGAGATTTTGTTTGAATACAGGTGGCAATAGATGAAGCCATGGGTCTCGAGAGGTTATCTTCCAAGAATATATGGAAAGATGAGAAAGATGGTCAAGCCCTTATGAGCACCAGTATTTAGGGGGTGAACTGAGGAAGAAGGACCAAGTTGAAGACACAAGTAAACTCCAGAGAAGGCAGGAAGATGTGACTGTTGTCAGAGAAACCAATATTAGCCAAAGTTACACCAATTCAAAGAAAGAGCAGAAAAGTATTCATTAACATGGACTTTGGTCTCTTATTAAGGTTTGGTTTTGGAATGCAAATGAGGTTTTTCAAAGTCTAGCAAAATCAATCTCTTATAGTTTGTATATATTTATAATAATCATTTACAAGGACTGGGGGTCCATTGCATTACCAATCAAGAGGCTTTGGTGAATAACCAAATGTGTCCAACATAGAAAATAAATCTTTAGTCAAAAGTATAAAAGGATTGACCTCATTGGAAATATGAAAAAACTCAGTACTTAGAAGATATATGAAAATACTCAGCATGGATATTATGAGAAGTTGGATAACAAAGTAACTTTTTTTTTTCTAAAAAACTATTTTAGGCCACAGTATGTAATGGAACTTATTGCTATTTGAAGTATCATTTAAAATAGGTTCATATATTGAAGAGATTATGTTTCAGTAACACCTCTTTACTGATATAAAATAATAGATCCCTTTTAGAAGACATACCCTCTAGAGTTCATTCCTAAATCTCTGTACTGTTTCTCACCTTAGTTCTTTACCCGGTAGCTTTAACCATTACACAAAATCAGGTGGATCAGATTCTGATTAAATGTGGCAGGTGGGGATTCTGTGTGTACCAGTACTCCAGCAGGATCAAGTATAAACAATTCTTGGGGGAGGGGGGAATCCCCAAATCTGTTCTTCTTGATGGTGAAGGTGAAGCCTTTCCAGATCACTTCCTGAAGGTTTCCACCTTCCAGAAGGTGGAAACAGCTCTCGGCTTCACCTGCAAACTGAAGAGGTGTTTTTTAAAACACACTCATAAATGATGTTTGGCAAGTCTTTTAAAAATATGTTTTTGGTTTTGTACAGTTCAATGAAGTGATGTTAAATTTTTAAAAAATGTAATTCATCCTAAGAAAATATATAAACCATTGGAATGAAAACTTCACATCATGCTATGCTGTTAAATGTCTTATTATTATATAGAATAATAACGTTAGAAATATGTTGTAAATATTTCATTTCCAATCATGATTGCAACTGAATTTTGTGATTCAAACTGGATTTTGTTTTAAAATTTAAAATCAATAAAAATATTAAAAATTGAAAAAAGTATTCATTAAATTATAATAGGCCTTTTGTACCCTTGGTTTAATGAGAAAAGCAAGAAAGTTAATTCCTGGTGTTTCCTCACCTCCACCTTCTCCCAGGCCATTTATCAGGCACGATTGGCACATTGCCAAAGATCCATGAAACTGTGTGCAAACTGGAAGAAAAAGTGTTGGTTCCAAAGTATAAGACTTCAAAGTGAATCATATTCTGTTAGTTTCACTAACAAATTTAGTATTCATAAAATTTTTATTGACACTCAAAAATAATTGGTTAGTTTTCCTCAATTTAAAAATTTTGTGATATGTGTAGTGATTTTCCAGAATTCATAGCAATAGCCAAATAATTCACTCATAGCAAAATAATTTTTAAACAAAACCATAAACATTGTTCCATATCATAGAATCCCATATATATAAAACTGGATGACATGGAACATTTTAAAATGTGTGATGTGAGGTTGAAGATGGGAGGACTCTAAAAGTAAGAGGCATAGAACATCTTACTCTAAAATGACCTGCTTTCTGTTCCTTACCACAAGTAAGCAGTGTGCCACAGTTGTCCCTCATATAATTTATACCTTCCCTAAACTGGGAAGCCCATTCGCTTAAATATGCTGGTCTTTCTGGTTATTTACCTTTCTGTCTCTTACTGAGAGGTAGAAATCTTTGATTCCCATGAAAGCAATTGTACTGAGGAATAGAGGTGTCTTACCCCCTTGAATTCACATACAGGGGAAACACAGAAACTAAAATACCTTAGGGCACAAAAGGATTGGTTCCTGGGCCTCAAAAAGAAAAAAATACGTAGTGTTTAAGTAATCTATTATTCTCCTCTAAAATCTGCCCCTGCTTTCCTGGAGGAGACTCAGAGTCCAAGGAATTCACATGTGCCTAACACCTTTATCCTGCATCTCCCCTTGCCCAGATACATCTCTGGTTATGTAGGTCATAATAAGGCAAGCTATCTACCCACGGAATAGAATTTCCTTTGCATAAATTCTTTGTCACATTCGTGCTATGGTTTGGATATAGTTTAAGGATGTCCTCCAAAGGCTCACATGTTGGGAGTTTGTTCCTGAGCCTAGCTAAGTGTGAGGTGATAGAGCCTTTAAGACATGGAGTTTAGTGGGAAATAACTAGATCACAGGAGGTCCTGCCCTCAGAGGGAGTTAGTACAGTTCTCCAGGGACTCTGGTTATTTCTCATGAGAGGGTTGATATAAAAGAGCAAAACTGGCCCAACCTGCTTTCTGGCTTTGTGTCTTGCCATGCTACGATGACTCTCTTTACACTTCCACCATTGTAATATCATCTGCCACGAGGCCTCACTTCAGACCAAAAAAATGGGGCTGCTTGATCTTGGACTTTGAGTCTCCAAAATTGTAAGCTACACATACCTCTTTTCTTTATGAAGTACTCAGCCTCCGATATTTTGTTATAGCAATTAAAAAAAAAAAACCCTAATACACATGAAACTATGTCATGAGATGAAGATGAAGTAAGTGGATATAACAAAGTGGCAGAGAGCATGCTGGGACAGGAAGGGGAAAGGTACTATCAGAAGCTTTAAGAATTTATATGTGGTGCAATGTGTGGTAAAGGAAAGAGTGTTGAAAGAACTGAAAGAAATCAAGTACAAAATAATGTGAGCTTGAATCTTTGTTTTTCATGCATAATTGTTTCCATGTGATATTGACTGAATCACATACAATATGGGAGAAATAGTTTTTTTCTTTTGAGCTAGGAAGAAGCTAAGTGTGTACACTAAAAACATTAATGAGTTCAATTCTGTAATTCATATTAACTTAGCGGGCTTTGTTTAAATTCATGCCATAAGTTCAGGGGGAAATAGCTTTTTATATGTAAACTAACAATAGAGTTAGAAAGAATTGCTAATTGTATGTCTAGTTTAAAAGTCTAGAAAAATACGCTTCAATTAATGGTAGTTACCTAAGTTATGTCCTTACTTTCATCAAGGATTAAGTAAGTTATTCTTAGTACAATGATTCCTAGGAATAATTCTGTATCTCTTATCAATGAATAATTTGGTCCAGCAGTCCTAGCAGTTTGATCCCATAGCTTAGGCAATAGTCATTCTCTCAGTAACCAGCAAACAAAGGTCAGGTGAACTATGTTTGACAATGACTTGGACAACTTTGTCTGCAGACCATTGGAAACACCAGAAAGAAGTATTTTCTCCCATAACAATAATAATAATTAATAATCAACATTGATGAGTTCAATTATTTTTGTGACCCATATAATGTTTACACTTAAATGCCACTGGAGCCTATTGAACTCACTGAGAAAAGATTTATGAAATGAATAGTCATCTGCTCAAATTTTTAAAATAAATAAAGGGAGTTTGAAGCTACCCTTCCTGGATTCTTGCCTCCACTCTACCCCAAGATATTTGTCTTGCACCAAGAAGGTACTTTGTGGCCTTCTGTTTTCTCATCTGAAAACAGAACTAAATGAGACAAGGTATTCATGTTTAAATAACTTACCAAACCTAATATAAACTGCTTGACCCTGGATGATATTTTCAGCAATATTAATTAACCAGAAATATGAATTATTGCCACAGTGGGACTAACCAGCTTAGTTGCTATGCCTTCTGTGTGACTAATTGCCTGCTAAATGCTATATTAACAGTCTTGGATCATAGACCAATTTAATTTAAATGCAATGAATTATGTAAATGTGAACTCTGCATTTAGTTTTATTAAAATCATATCATGGCAAAATAAAATAGACATAAATCAAGCCACATGTCCTTACTTCAAGCCTGAGTCATGCTAGTTCACATATGATAATTTTAAAGTTTCTCCAACTCAACTTCCTCTTAAATATAGAAATTCCTGGGACCCACACATATGTGGGAGTGCTAATCATGTGACCTTCTGAAAAAAATGTGGATACATGTATAATTCTATGATTTATTCCATGAATTCTATCACTTATCTAAATAGTAATGTAAAGATGAGTCATCTCTTATGTCTAATCAGTTGCATGTTTAAATTCTAATTGATTCGGAGATTTTTTCTTCTCTTCCTTTTTAAGTAGGAATTTACTGACAGACAATGGCAGAAAGAGTCTTACAGAAGTTAGAACTCCTGGATAAGCAAGCAAAGATACTCATGAACAGAAGAATAAAGGTCTGTAAAGTGAAAGTTACATTCAATTTAATCATTAAAAAATCAATATTTCAAGGGGCTGGGGTTGTGGCTCAGTGGTAGAGCGCTTGCCTAGCATGCATGAGGCATGGGGTTCAATTTCCGCACCACATAAAAATAAATAAAGGTATGTGACCATCTACAACTAAAAAAACATATTAAAAATTAACATTTCAAATAATAATAATTTTGATTTTTAGTTAATGATAGATTAATCTGAAAATATAAACTAATTTATAAAAAGCAAATCATTACATTAGGTGAAAGAATCATCTAAGTGGATAATAAAAAGAATTGATTAACTGTACAAGAAAACCTCCAGACAGCTGCTACAGTAGGTTATGGTATATATCACACCTGCTTAGAAATCCTGTGCTGCTGAATATTAAATGTGACTACTGCTATAGTTCTTACCAATGTGTTAAACATATGCAGAGTTACTTAGGTTGGGCATGTTAAAAGAAAGAGAACATTTGGGATAGTTACCAAATTAGAAATAAAACTTACAGAAATAATTGAAGTAAACTATAAATAGGCAAGACTCATAGAATTCAAGAAAAATATTAAAAGAGAATATGGTTCTCAAAACCCAGTTTGGGACATATAGGAACAATTAAAATTTGGTTTTCTGGAAATTCTTTTAAAATTATATACTGGGACTGATGATATAGCTCAGCTGGTAGAGTGCTTGCCTCGAATGCACAAGGCCCTGGATTCAATCCCCAGCACCATTAAAATATATATATATATATATATATATACACACACACACACACACACACACACACACACACTCACACACACACACATACTCTATATGATCATATTTTAAAACTTTTATTATTTTAAAATTGTAAATATAAAACATACCTTTGGGAACAAGTTAAACAATGCATAGAGATGTATAAAGAAAAGTAGACATAAAGAAATTAAATAAAGAGAAGTTAATTAGTAGTCTTTGGCTTCTTTCCTATAATCCACTCATCACAGGCAAATACATTTTGACAGTTAGAGTTTGTTCATTCATATCTTTTTATGTACTCTTATAAAGATATACATAAAGACATTTATCTTTGCATATAAATTTATATGTATTTAGAATAAGAATACACAGACACATAGACACATACCTACATACATAAAAGTAGATTTTATCTATTTTTTAACGAAAATGAGCTAATACATAAATCACTCTGGTATTTGTTTTTTTTAATTTTTTTAAACTGAAAAATATTGTAGACCCAGTTTTTGCAATTACAAAAACCTCGTACCTTTTACCCAAGTTACCTACAATGATGACATCTTATACAGTTGTGGTACAATATTAAAACCAAGACGTTGATACCTGATGTCTGTCAACAGGACTACAGATTTTCTTCAGTTTTTACCTTCAGTTTTTTCATTTTTTGATCAGCATGAATTTGTGTGTGTGTGTGTGTGTACACCTGTGAGTGTGTATGTGTAGTTTCATGCAGTATTATTCCATTTACAGATGTGTGTAACCACCACAATCAAAATCCAGCCCTTTTCTGTCACTGTACACAACACTCTCATGCTACTTCTTTTATCCACTGCATTCACCATCTCTATCTGTGAAAAGTAATCACTGATTTGTTTTCCATCTCCACAATTTTGTAATTTTGAAAATGTAATACAAATAGAATCATCCGATATGTAAAGTTTTGAGAGTGACTTTTTCACTAAACATAATGGACTTTGAAGTTCACCCAGAGTTTTGCATGAATCCATAGTTTTGTTATTATAAATAACATGCAAATTTTATTGCTGAGTAGTATTCCGTTATATGGAGGAACAGTTTCAATCACATATCCATTGAAGGGCATTTGGGTTCTTGTCAGGATTTGGCTACAAAAAAAAAATAAGACTGCTAAAAATAAAATAAAGCTGCTATGAACGTTTTTATACAAGTTTTATACGAGTTTTTGTGTAAATTTAAGTTTTCATTTCTCTGGAGTTAATGCCCCAAAATACAACCACTACTGCAGTCTTTCATCTGAACAGGAGCAAGGCCAGAAAGTTTGGTTTGAATTCCCCCAGACCCATAGGGTTCCCCTTCCCTGAACCTCAGCCCAGAAATTGCTCTAGGAAGTAATTTGGGCTATTGCAGCATTCACCTCATTTGTTTTTATCTTTCCAGGATTCATTCCTGCTGAAGAAGGTAGTTTTCATATATTCTGCCTGATTTTCTGTTTGTTTACAGTAGGAGTTGAATTACTATAGCACTTAATCCTTCATGGGCAGATGCAGAAGCTCCCTCTATCTTTTGACTTTCTTTTTCGTTCCTTCCTTCCCTAATTGCCCCCACCCCACCCCTCCCACCCCCCTCGCTCCGGCGCACCTCTGTACTGGGATGGAAACAGGGATGCCCTACCACTCAGCTACATCCACAGCCGTTTTTACTTTTGAGATGGAGCCTTGCTAAATTGCCCAAGCTGGTCTTGAGCTTGCAGTCTTCCTGCCTCAGCCTCCAGAGTAGCTAGGATCACCAGCATTTGCCACCATTTCTTTAACTTTCCTTTCAAAAGTTTTACCTTTATTTCTCTATGCTGTACCCTGAGAGAATTTTTTAGAGATAACTTCCAGCTCCTTAACTCACTCTTTAGTTATATTCTTTTTTCTTTTCTCTTCAGTTCATCTGTGTAAATATTTTATATTTTAATGATTTTTTTTTATTTTTTGGTCTTGGGGATTGAGCCCAGAGGTGCTTTTCCACCAAGCCATGTCCCCAGCTCTTTTTAGTTTTCATTTTCAGACAGGGTATCTCCAAGTTGCTTTAAAGACATTGTCTTTGCTAAATGTCATAGGCAGGTCTTTCCTTGTAATCTGAATGTTAGAGTTAGAAGGGAGCCTGAGTGGTCATCTAGTCCAGTACCCTCATTTTATAGTTGGGAAGAGCTTGCTCAGGTCACACAGCAAAGGCATAAAAGTTGGGGCACAAGACCCCAGTTTTCAATCTGTATATTCTCTCATTATTGCCTGCCATATGCATTGTGTGTGTGTGTGTGTGTGTGTGTGTGTGTGTGTGTGTGTAAAGTGAGATGAATTTTTGTCTTATCCAAACAGGATAGTCCCTCTAGGAAAAGTAATTATTTGTTGTCACTTTGGTTTTGTTGCAGAAAAACAAGCTTCAGTATGTAGGAACAGAAAATACTTTACCCCTGACATTTGATTATCATTCAGAATTTGAAGAGGGTAGTTCTACCCTTCAATCTGCATCGAGGACAGCATCAAAGACCATGGAAGATAAGTCACGTGACGTTAAAAAATCAAAAAAGTAACTATCATAACGACCTCAAACTTTCAGTTTGAAGGTTGGAAGCATTGCTTTATATTTGTATTAAACTATGCAATGTATATAACATGAAAATTTTGTCATATGGTATATTTTATAACAGTTATGAGTTAAAATATACTAGATTACTATTTGAAGATTCCCAGCTTATAAAATATTTCACTAGCATAGATAGTAATTTCAATTATGAATTTTTGTTTTTATTTATTTTTTTAAATACTTTTTATTTTTCACAGTGCTTAGAATGGAACCCAGTACTTCTCACATGCTAGGCAAACACTACCACTGAACTACATCCCCAGACACAATTCTGAATTTTTAAAGAAAGTTAGTTAGTGACATTTCTCCAAATTAATGTCAGGATTTATTTTAAACTTTAATTAATATATTATAAGAAAATGCCTGCCTAGAAAACTAAATAAGGCAGTTTCTTTGTGTACTTAACAATGGATAGCCTAATCATGCCATACTTGGTCTTTCGCTAGCATATGTACATGTGTAATGCTCTGTAATTTTTCCAAAAATCAGAAATGTAGAGAGCCTGAAAAGAAGTATAAAGAAATAGAATCAAACCAGGTCAACTGAATATTGGTGGTAGTGTTGATACTGTTCTTATCTCATTTATTTTATGTCACAATCCAATGTGGGAATTACAGTTTTACAGATGAAAAATCCATGTGTTAGGTTAAATAACTTCCAACGTCACACAACTAGCAAGAGGAAGGATTTAAAGCCTAGTAGTCTGATTTCAGAGCCCATTCTCTTTATCATCATCTGGTTCAATAGGATGACCTCAAGCCTGGGCTTGATGCCCAGATACATGCATCATAGTGCTTTGTAGAGAATATGTGGATAGAAGCAGCTCTATCTTGGGTGAGTAGGAGGATTAAGGTGAGAAGAGCTGGAATTTATTTTGGATTTGTTAAGTTTTAGATGCCTGTGGGGAATTCAGGTGAAGGTATCTGGAAGAAAGTTGGACAAACAACTCCCAGTCTATCATAAAACATGATGTGGAGAACTATAACTATTACTTACTGTTTTACTTGTAAGCATTCTGATAACAGCACAAAATACAGCTCATTCAGATTTTTTAAATTTGTGATTTACCAGAATATCAAAACATGTCCCCATTGAAGCAGTAAGTTAGAAGAAAGCAGTTTGTTCCTAGCACAAGTAAATATCAGTGGTTTACATAATTTAATTTTATCGCAAACTTCTTACATTACTACTTTGTTTTAGGTAAATAAGCCAATAATTTTACTTCAAAGTCATTTATAGAACTGTCCCTATTAATATGTGATATTTTAATAATTCATAGAAAAAATTCATAGAATGGAAGTAGGGAACGTGGGGAAGGACAAAAAAATCATGTGTGTATACACACACAGTATATATGGTTATGTTGTGTGGATTCATTTTTTTTTAACAAGAGGAGAAACTCATGTATGGAAAAAATAATTAAATATGAATAAAGGGGGCTGGAGTTGTGGCTCAGTGGTAGAGCACTTGTCTAGCATGTGTGAGGTAGTAGGTTCGATTCTCAGCACCCCATATAAATAAATGAATAAAATAAGGTCCATCAACATCTAAAAAATATTTTTTAAAAACATATAAGGGTGGTAGAGTGCTTGCTTCACACATGTGGGGTGCTGGATTTGATTCTCAGCACCACATATAAATTAGTGAGTAAAATGGAGGTCCATTGATAACTAAAAAAAATTTAAAAAAAAACATGAATTGAGGATACAGTTGCAGTCTATGTAGATTTTTTTTTTCCTCTTGTGCTGCTGGGAATCCAACCAAGGGCCTCACACATGCTAGGCAGGTAGTCTACTAATGTGCTTTACCCTCAGCCCATTAGTGAAATTTAATGAACCAAATTGTTCTCTTAGTTCAATAGACATCATGTAATCTGAGTGATATTAGCCTGATATAAAGATTAAAATGGTGAAGTTTACAGTCTAGTCATCAAGCTTGTATACTAGCTTTGCTTTCTATTAGCTTTACGACACAGGGCAAGTTATATAACTTCTCTATGCCTCAGTTTCCTATTTTACGGGGGGGATAGTAATAACATATATTCCATAGGGACTTCATGAGAATTAAATATGTTAATGTATGTGAAAAATTTTAAATTTATTGCCTACACATGGTAGGCACAAAAAAATAGCACAACAACAATAAAATTAAAGCTTAGTTTTTCCAATATACAATCATACATACTGATCTTTAAAAATAAGACAGTAAAGAAATACACTTAAGCTATGTTTACAAGAGGCAAACTTTTCTTTTTTTAATATTTTATGCTTTTGTTATAATATTTGAGTATTTCTGAAGAAATTAATATTTTTGAATTAAGAAAAACATAAAAATTTCTTTTGCTTTTTGATAAAACTCCTTTTAGGTCCTAACTTTATTGAAGGGAAAATTGGGGAGTAGATTAGGATTTATTTTTTATATTTTTGTTTTTTAATTTGTACTAATTAGTTATACATGACAGTCAAATGCATTTTGACACATTGTACACAAATAGAGCATAACTTATCATTCTTCTGGCTGTTCATGGTGCAGAGTCACACCAGTAGTGTAATCATACATGTGTATAGGATAATAAAGTCTGTCTCATTCTACCGTCCTTCCAATCCCCACAGCCCCACCTTTTCCCCTCTTCACAATCCAAAGTTCCTTCATTCTTCCCTACCCCATCCCCACCATGGATCAGCATCCACTTATCAGAGAAAACATTCGGCTTTTGGTTTGGGGGCATTGGCTTATTTCACTTAGCATGATATTCTCTAGTTCCATCCATTTACCTGTAAATTTCATTTTTCTTTAAGGCTGAATAATATTCATTGTGTATATGTACCACATTTTCTTTATCCATTCATCTGTTGAAGGGCATCTAGGTTGGTTCCATAGTTTAGGTATTGTGAATTGAGCTGCTATAAACATTGATGTGTCTGTGTCACGTAGTATCCTGACTTTAAATACGTTGAGTATAAACCCAGGAGTAGGATAGGTTGGTCAAATGGTGGTTCCATTCCAGGTTTTCTGGGGAATCTCCATACTGCCTTCCAGAGTGGTTGCACCAATCTGCAGTCCCACCAACAATGTATGAGTGTGCCTTTTTCCCCACATCCTTGCCAATACTTATTATCGCTTATATTCTTGATAATTAAGGCAAAAATTTTTAATATCTTTGATAACATGTGATTTAATAGTTAAATGGAATAGGGTGGGAACAGGAAGTGTGAAAAAAAGTGCAGCACTTATGTGAGAGATTTATGCCTAATTTGCTATGACCAACACAGTTCCTCAGTAACATGGGCACAGGTTCCTTTAAGGCTCCTCGAGGATTCTGGGAAGTGAAGGGCTTTACCTCCTCCAGCTCTCTTTAGAGAGAGTTTCAGTACCCATTGAACGTGTTCTCTTCTCTGAGGAGCTGGAAGAGGATTCCCATTAGCCCATACAGTGAAGAAACTGGGGAATCTAGGGCAGGGCTTCTCATAGTAGCTGCTCATTAGAATCACTTGAGAGCTTTTTAAAAATGTACCCAGTCTCCCAACCCTTGAGATCATGAACTGTTAGTCTGTGTGTTTTTCAAAGCCCTCTGGGTAATTCTAATATACAGCTAGTGGTTTGAGAACCATTGCTGTAGACTTCTTCATTTCTCATTTTCTTCATCAAGAGATCCTAGATGACACCTGTGTGGCCAGTGATTCATTACATGAGGCTCTTATATCTTACTGCCCAATTAGAGTCCCAAATAACTGGAGCTTCAGAGGTGCCAGAGGAATCCACCCTCACAGGAAAGAGTGGCCAAAGAGAAATCAAAAGTCATTTAAGGAGACTCATTTGAAGGAGGGAGATGGAACCAAACATTCAGAACAGGTGACTCCTCATGAAGCAAATTTAATGGGAAGAACAGAAGAAAGCTTTAGAAAATATGTGTCTTAAGGACAAATAATCAGAGAGAAAAAGGAGATTAAAAAATAAACCTTTATCACAAACTAAATGGGGAAATTGAAAATAAAATACAGATGAAAAGTGGATAGATACTTTAGAAGATTAAATCAAGGCAGAATCTTGCAAAAAAAAAAAAACCTTATCAATTGAAAAGAGACATGTATCACAGTTTCAGTGTACTCAATATGTAAATGTGTATATACTGAATACATGAATCAGAAGAGAGGAAAATAGATGGTTAAGGAATGATCCAAGAAATATTAGGAAAAAAATGCTCTTCTTTTAAAGACAGAGTTGAATTTTCAGATCAAAAGGGTCACCAAGGTGCTAAAGTTATGATAAAAATCACTTAATTCTAAGGGCAGAAAAAACTGTTTGATTACAAAGGAAAGGAAATAAAATTAGTTATATATTTCATTTTCATTTTTAAGGCAAGAAAACAGCAAACCAAATGTGAAAAGAGAAAAAAAAACCAGTAAATTATTTTCAACTTTTGAAATTATATGGTGGTGCTTTTTACGCATAGTGGCAGAGAACTTGGCTGAATTGTGTGTGTTCTAGTATTTTGTGGAATGTAGAGCTTGTGAACAATAAAATTGTGTATTTAGATGGAGAAATTTTTAAGTGTGGTTGGTTCTCTTGACCCATACAGTAAAACACAAGAAGAGATAATGAATTGAAGATAGAATTATTAAGCAAAAAGAAATAATAACTTAAATATTTGGAAAAGTTTCAATTTGCCCATGTTCCAAATGTGAAAAAGCACATTTAGAAGAGAACACTTAGTTTGTGGTAGACTGACCATTGGATAATAAGATGAATGTGGTTATGAACAAACATGGACCTAATTAGATATCAACAGAAGTCAAGAGTAAAGATGAAGTTATAAAGCAGAAAAAAACTATCAGTTGTGACAAAAGAAAACAGAGAAAATGGGGTGCCACAGTCTGGCTGGGCACAAATGCCGCAGTCTGGCTGGGCACACAATCACGAGCCACCACACAGCTTGTAGATTCAAACAGCAACTCTTTATTCCCGAACTCACACCAGCCGTCTACAATCACGTTCTGGGGAAATCCACGTTCTCTGCCCAAATCCAAGTTCTCTGCCCAAATCCACCTCCACTGGGCTTCTATCTCCAAAATATACTGTCTGAATCCCATGAGAACTCAAGGGGAACTCAGGCAGCAGGATACGCCCTATTCCCAGCAGGAATAATCTTAAACCTTAAACCTGGAACCTAAACTGGGAACGCCCTAAACACGATTATCTTAAAACTGGGAACACCCTAATCTGCCTTGGTCCTTGAGCAAGGTCACCTACATTCAATGTCGCTGCAACATGTCAGCAACATGGGGTATGCTGGCAAGGAAATTGTCATACCTACTTGGCTAATGGCTCCCAGCAATGGGGAAAAAATAAAAATTTTTGACTATTTTTAAAATTTTTTTTAATGACTGTTAAAATTCCCAGACCCTCCAGGGCCAGACTGTAGAGCTGTTTGCAGCATAAATACTATGACATAACCCTCTTGAAAGTTGAGAGACATCTGTATAGATACTCAGCTGCAAACATGCACTATTCTTTTTTTTCCCAATTTTTTATTAGTGCATTATAATTGTACATATTGATGGGATTTGTTGTTGCATATTCATACATGCATACAACATAACAATATAATTTAGTCAGTATCACTCCCCAGCGCTTCCCTCACCTCCCACCCCTTGATCTCTTTCCTCTACTGATTTCCCTTTGATATTTAGGAGATCCACACCTACTCTCATTTTCCTTTTTTCTCTATAGTTTCCACATATGAGAGAAAACATAAGTTTAGGTATTGTGAATTATTTCCCTTAACATAATGGTCCCAACTTTCATCCATTTTCTGCAAATGCTATAATTTCATTTTTATTTATGGCTGAATGACTCTATTGTTTGTACACATCACATTTTCTTTATCCATCCGTTCATTGATGGACACCTAGGCTAGTTTCATAGTTTAGCTCTTGTGAATTTTGCTGCTATAAATATGGGTAAAACATACTCTATTCTTCAAGCAAGAGAAGAAGGGCCCGGAAGCAATTCAGAAAAGCACCAAGTCTGCCACTCCCACCACAGACCCAGAGTGCATGGACAGGCGGGATACAGTGCTGTCACCAGCTCAGTTAAAAAGGGTGAGACCCTTCATGGCAACATCAGCAGTTTTCCAGCATGCATTTTGAAATTCTTCCAGCTTCTACCCATCACCAAGGCCTTGAATGCATTTTTTACTTACAGTATTTTCATTTCACTACGGATTTATTAGAACATAACCCTCTCGTAAATTGAGAGACAGCATCATTCTCAGGGTGGGACACTTGACCCATTCCCATTTCAGTTAGAGTCAGGATGATGCCCATTCTCACTAGAGTACTGCACAATCATAGAAGTATTTCCCAGTGATATTAAATAAGCACTTAAAATAAAATACAAAATTTTAAAGGAACAGACCAGTTAAATTTAGAGGAGGGATATTCTGTCTACAGTCATAAATGCTGTGATCCTATCTGGTTGACCATTCTGGTATGTGGACTGTCCCTTACTCTGTATCCCACCACTTTAATTCAGGTCTGCAATGCCCCTAATTTCTCATGGGACTAATTTGCAGCATAGTTTTCTGAAAAGGTTAGTTAGCTTGTGGAGAGTGAGTGTCCTTGGACTGCCCTTAACCCTATCACAACAGTGGGGTTCTTGTCCCCTCTGTTTCAAATGATTAACACTAGTATTTTCAGCTCCTGCTCAATCTTTTGTACTTTTATTATAATAGTATTAGTGCAATATCTAAATTTATATAACTGGGACTTCACATATTTCTCCAAATTTGTTTTTTAGGTTTGTTTTATAAATTTTCTGATTCTTTTAATTTAGATTTGTTTTTTATGTCTTCCAGATGTGTCTATTTCAAAATTGAACCTGAACCCAGAAAGAATGATTTTGAAAAGTTAAATTTAAGATCACAATTTGTTCCAACAAACATAAAAAATCAAGAAAGTAAGTCAAGGGCTGGGGCTGGGGCTTAAGTGGTAGAGTGCTCTTCTAGCACTTGTGAGGCACTGGGTTCAATCCTCAGCACCACATAAAAATAAAATAAAGATATTGTGTCCACCTAAAACTAAAAAATAAATATTAAAAAAAGAAAGTAAGTCAAAGGTAATGTTTATATAGTATGTTTCCTTCTCCTTTGATTTGCTAATGGGTGCTTTAAATATTTACTATATATTATTGTATGTTTTCAAAGTTCTTGATAATTTAATGTCTCTGTTGAAAGCAGGATATGAGCAATAAAGAATTTAACAAAGAGATGTTAAATATCACAATGGACAATTTATGCAATTCATAATTCATGAATATATTTTTTATGTCTATCTTTAGTATTTCTTTCTTCTACGAGGATAGCAGACACCTGAGTTTCCTTTCAGCGTAACCCTCGGAATTTCCTCGTTATGGTTAAATAAAAATCAACTTGCTTAACTTAACATAATCAGTTTTGCTTAATAAGAGACAACTTGCTTAATAGAAACTTACTTTCAGGATTAGAAATTTGGGGAATCAGTGAACTACGAACCAGCAGTACAGACCCTCAGAGAATTTGAATGTGTGGTGTTGCCTTTGGTTTACTTTCTCTGCCATTGTCAAACAGCCATTCAATGACATCATTGTCCTCAATCTCCTTGACTGAGGCCCCTTGTCTCCACTTTGCCCACACTGCCTTATTTCTGTATTATATTTTATAATCTAAATGCAAAAGATTTGTTTATACACAGTGCCTTTATTTCCTGTTTTTTGTTGCCGTCGTCGTCGTTGTTCGTTTGTTTTGTTTTGTCTTTTGCTATTGGGGACTGAACCCTCATGCATGCTAGGTAGGGGCTCTACCACTGGACTTCATCCCCAGATTTGTTTGTTTTGCTTTTTGTTTTTTGGTATCAGAGATTGAATCCAGGGTGCTTAATCACTGAGCCCTTTTTAAAAACTTTTTAAATTTTGAGACAGAGTCTTACTAAGTCACTTAGGGTCTTACTCTGAACTTACAATCCTCCTGCCTTTGATTACAGGCATGCACCATGGCGTCCATGGCACCTTTTTGTTTTATATGTTTGAGACAGTGGTCTCGCTAAATTGCCCAAGCTGGCCTCTAACTTGCATCCTCCTGCCTCAGCCTTCTGAATAGCTAAGATGACAAGGTTGCGCCACCACACTGGGCTACTTGCTCAATTCCTGTTAAACTTCAACCTATTTAATCCAGTTTCCTGCTTCACCCTTCTGAAACTACACTGCTCAAGATAACCAATGATCTCCATGTTGCTAAATCCCAAAGATATCTCTTTGTTCCCATTTTCTTCCACCTCTCCATACTGATATAGTTGGTTGATGGCTCCTGAAAGGAAAGTGACCACAACACACGGAGCAACCAAGAGATCTTTATTGCAGCAGTGCAACAAAGAGAAAAGAAAGAAGGAAAGAAGTGGGAGGGGGCAGCTGGGGAAGGCTTTTATAGCCTTTCTGCTGTGCTGCCTAAATCTAACAGGGTCTCTGGGTTTGCAAGCTGCCTTGTTGGCACACAAGGGGGTTAAGTGCTTGGCCTTGAGCGGGCTAGTGTTCAGCCTTGAGCAGGGGGGCAAAGCTCTCAGCCTTGAGCGGGGGCTTGGGCGTTTGGGCTTGAAGCGAACAGATGATAAAGAACCAGACAGAGGGTTTGAGTGACCAGGTCATCCTGCAGCTAACTTTGTCTGGCATGCCCTGCAGACAGTTTATTCAGCTTGTCCTGGACCTAACAGCTCCCTCCTCCTTCACTTTCATCTTGGAGCTTTTGGGATCCATGTCTGTTTTCCTGCTATCTCATAACATCTCCGTTTTTTTTTTTTTTTTTTTTTTCTCTGTTATGTTATGTAGGTGCATTTAATCAGAGCTAGTCCTGAGCCTGCCCCTGTTTCTACACTTTCTTCAGGTGATCATATCCAGTCTTAACGTTTTAAAATAGCATAGAGATGCTATTAAATCCTTCGTTTATGTCATGCCTATATTGAACAACATAAATGATACCTCTAGATAAATAAACTTTTCACGGGCATCTTAAACTTAATGCCTAGAACAAGACACACAATTCCATATCCCAATCATTACTCCTAACCTTTTCTCCCCACCCCTTCCTCCAGCATCCTCAAGCCTGGAACAGAAGCCATCTGTGATTTCCCTTTCTGTCACTGCCAAAGTCCAGTCCTTCCCATTCTGACTTATCTTGAATTCATCTCTTTCCATTACTTCTGTACCACCATCGTAATCCAAGCCATCATCGCCTTGTATTTATACAACCACAGTAGTTTGCCAACTGGTACATCTTTCATTCTTCCCTTTTTCTAATCAGTTTCCTTCTTTCTTGTTAGACCATTATAAATTAAAAAATAACAGACCAAAAAGTGCATATAACATCAAAATGTAAAGTATAACAGCCATTGTAAAAAAACCAACACCTACATAACAAGAAAACAGATCAAGAAATAGAATATTGCCAACATCTTGACCTTTTCCAGATAATTTCTCCCTCCCTTTTCCCTAAAGGGTTACCATTACCTTAACTTCTTAGGAAATCACTTCCTTCATTTTCTTTATATTCTTACCCTCTGTGTGTTTGTCTGAAGAATATAGTGTGCCTGATTTTTCTGGTTTCAAAAAAAACTATATATAATGTTATCATACACTATGTTTTTATTTATGTTTTCTTTTTCTTAGCCTTGTCTTCATAAGGTCATGTGTATTATTGTAGTTTTGGTTTCGGTTATTTTTTGTGGTGCTGGAGATTGAACCCACGGGTGCTCTACCACTGATCTACATCCTCAGCCTTTTTATTTTTTATCCTGAGGTAGGGTCATGCTACATTGTGGAGGCTGACCTCAAACTTGAGATTCTCTTTCCTCAACCTCTGGAGTGACTGGGATTAGGCGTGGACGTGTAGTTCTTTTATTTTCATTGCTGTAGAATATTCTGTTGTGTGAATATTTCACAATTTATCTATCCACTTTTGAATTTGGGGTTCTCAATTTTCAGCCATTACAATGCAAAAATGAACATTCATATTTATGTATTCTACTGTTTCTCAAGAGCGTATTACTGGGTATGCTTAACTTTAACTATAAAAAATAAGAGCAAACTTTCCAAAGTGTTTGTACCAATTCATTCTCCTACCAGATTTTTGAGATTTTTTTTTTTTTGTTGTTGTTGTTCTGATTATTTACTGACACTTGAAATTGCCGATTTTTCAAATTTTACCTATCTGGTCATGTATAATAATAGCATGTCATTGTGGTTTAATTTGCATTTTATGATTACTAATAAGGTAGACACCTTTTTCATAGACTATTGATCAATTAAATTCATACTTTTAGAAACCACCCAGGTTTTAAGCTCACTGTAAAATTCAATTTTTGGAAGATTTGGAGATATATGCTTTCCTTCATGTGTGGAAGCTAGAGAGGAAAAAGGAAAATAAAAGTGGTGGGGATCTTGTGAAAATCACAGGGAGATCAGTAGAGAAAAGGGACTCAGGGGTGGGAGGTGGGGAGGAAGAGGGGAAGTGTTGGGGAATGATATTGGTCAAATTATATTGGTATATTGTGTGTTGTGTGCATGCAGGAATATGTAACAAAAAATCCATCAGTATGTATAACTATAATGTGCCAATAAAGATGTGGGAAAGATAAAAATTAAAAACATGTTGCCAACTTACAAAAATTCAGTTTTTTCTATTATGTATTCCTTTGTATTTTCTGGTTTCTAGTTTTTGTTGGTTTCATGTATTATGAATATCTTTTCTTTCTCTGTGGGTTTTTCCTTTCACTCTTTATATGGTGTCTTTTCCGTGTGTGTGTGTGTGTGTGTGTGTGTGTGTGTGAGAGAGAGAGAGAGAGAGGGAGGGAGAGAGAGAGAGAGAGAGAGAATGAATGTGTGGTGCTAGGATTGATCCCAGGGCCTCTAACATGGCAGGCAAGCACTCTACCAGTGTGCTATATCCCCAGCCCCTATAGTGCCCTTTTTTTTTTTAAATAGAAAATACAGGCATTTTATTTATTTTTATTATCATTTTTATATTTATATATGACAGCGGAATGCGTTACAATTCTTATTTCACATATAGAGCACAATTTTTCATGTCTCTGGTTGTACACAAAGTATAATCACACCGATTTAAAAAATATGGAATGCTTCACAAATTTGTGTGTTATTCTTTCACAGGGATCATGCTGATCTTCCCTGTATTGTTCTAATTTTAGTGTATGTGCTGCCCAAGCAAGCACCCTATTGTGTCCTTTTGATGAACAGAAATTTATTCACACTAATAAGTTCAAATATACCAAATCTTTACCTATGTGACTAATGCTTTTTGTACTATAATTAGGAAGTCCTTCTGTCCTTTGTGATTGTAAAGAGATTATCTTATTTTTATAGTTAAATGATTTGAAAATAAATTTTGAGTAGGTAGGGGTCTGATTAATTTTTTTCTTTGGCTAGCCAGTTATCTCAGCTTGTTATTAAGAAGGCTGTTCTCTTCCTAACACTCGTGGATTGTGTACTGGGGTTGTTACTCTGTGTCATTAGATTACCGGTCCATTTCTGAATCAGTACCACACAATATTAAAGTTTGTCTCTTAAAATAAGCTTTACCATCTGGCAGAGCAATGTTTCCCAGAGTATCATGACTATTTTAAAATTCCCATTATTATTTCTTCTTTGATCTATTAAGTAGTTAGAAGTATATGTTTTAATTCAGATTATATGAACTTTTCTATTTATCTTTTTATTGTTGCTTTCTAACACAGTTGCACTGTGGTTAGAGGTTACACTCCATGTAATTTTATTCCTACAGAATTAGCACTAGCATGACCACCAAGTTCATTGTAAATGCACTGTAGATGCTGGGAAATAATGTATATTTTGCAATTGTTGGGTAGCGTGTTCTACCTATGTCTTTTAGATCAAATTTGTTTGCTCTGATTTTCGTTTTTCTACATCGTTAGTAAATTTTTCTGCTTGCTTGTTCTGTCAATAACTGAAAAGTTTCAGACTTGTTTTTCCTATAATGCTGTCAAACTTTGCCTTGTTTTACAAAATTTAGAATTATTATATATTTCCAGTGAATTGAATCCTTTTTCATTATATGACTGCCTTGTTAGCCAGTGTTACCAGAGTTACCTCACCTTTCTTCTAGCTAGCATTGTCATGGTACGCCTTTTTTTTAAAAAATCATCTTATTACCACTTTGTATAACATTGTGGTATAAATTTATCTCTTGTAAATATCATGTTGTTAAATTGAAAAAATCTAATCTTATTTTCTTTGGAATGGAACATTACCCTTATTGTAATTACTGATATCTTTAGATTTAAATCTTCCATCTTATTTCTATCCACCCTGTTTATTCTCTACTTCTTTTTCTATTCTCTTATGTTGTCTTTATAATTGATTTTTTAAATTTCACTTTTCCCTTTTATTAGTGTGAAAGTTAAATATGTACTCTGTTTCTATTCTTTAAATGATCACACTAGAAATTACAAATATGCACTTTTTCAGAATCTAATATTACCTCCTCTGGAAAGAACCCTTAAATTATTTTACTGCTTCCTGTCTATTACTACTATTATGCATTTTAATATTGTATTTATTAAAAAACACAGACAGTATTAATAGTATTTTGAAGTGCAACATTGGAAAAACCCTTGTCAACATTAATAATTTCACCAGGATAAGAAGGTAATTTTCATGTAGTTTTTTTGTTTCCATTGAATTTTTGTTAAATGGACCTTATTTTTTAGAGCAGGTTTGGATTCACAGTGAAACTGAGTGGGAAGCACAGAGTTCCTATATACTTCCTGCCTCTCCCCAACTTACCCTCCCCTATTAACAATATGGCTCGCTAGAGGATTAAATTTGCTGTCACCTGAGTGTAGTGTGGCACAGCACTATCCCTCACATCTTCATTTAACATTAGGGTTTACTGTTGGTGATAAACATTCTATGGGTTTGGACAAACATACAATGACATTATTCACCATTCATCATGCTGAGAAGTTCACTGCCCTAAACTCCTCGGCATTCTGCCTATCCATCCCTCCCCACCCCACCCCACCCCAAACCCCTCTCATCGCTTATCTTGACAGGTTCCCCTTTTTCTAGAATATCACATGGTTGGAATTATACAGTGTGCAGCCTTTTAAGATAAACTTTTTTCCCTCAGTAAAATGCATTTAAGTTTTCTTTATATGTTTTCATGGTTTGGTTTTGTATTCCATTGTCTGAATGCAAATTATTTTACTCCTTTCCTAACTTTTCTGCTCTTACTGTTGTATATTTTAATATTCTATATTTTAAGCACATAAGACATTATCATTATTACTATTACAAAGTCATTGTTCACTTAAATTTTTACTTCTCTGTCTACATCTGGCATTCTTTTTTGTCTTAAATTCCTCCTTTGGAATTTTACCGTCATCTCGTGGTAAGCACTCTCAATTTTTGTTTTTCCAACAAGTCTTTATCTCACTTTCATTCTGGAAGAATATTTTCTTGAGTGCAGACTTCTAGGTTGAAAGTTGTTTTCTTTTCCGCATGTTGCAAATTTCCTTCTAGTACCTTCTGACTTCCATTTCTGTCATTGGTAAGTCAGCCTACTTGCCATTTCTCTTTTGACTTCTTGTAAGATTTTATCTTTTCTTGCTTTTATGTGTTTTGACTATGATATGTCCAGGGATCGATTTGTCTCTATTCATATTGCTTAAGGATCACTGAACTTTGTAAATCTGTGTAATGTTTTCATTCACCAGTTCTGGAAAATCCTCATCCATATTTCTCCAAAAATCATGTTCGATGCTTTATTCTTATCCTCTCCTTCTAGAATAGTGATAAGATATACATTAGATTTTTATCCTCTTCTGTCTGCATTTTCCCTCTTTTTTATCTTTTTTAATGAGTTCCTAATTCTTTCTTCAGACCTATATTCTATGTTTCCATTTTCATCTGTTACTGAACCAGATCTATTATTTAAGGTGAAAAGGTATATAAAATTTTAAAATATGTTAGAAGAAAAAATAGGAATGTATCTTTTTCATGTCTGCTATGTTGCTTTTATGGTTTTTAAATTTACTTTTATGTCTATTTCAGGGTTGTCTCTTACTTTGTTAAACATAGTAGACATTCTGATCTCTTGCTGTCTGCCTGGAAACTGCAATCATCAATGGTCTGTTTCATCATTGCCTATTATTTCTGATGGTTCACTCTTAAAATGTTATATTTTCCTGTTTGCATTATTATCTTTGAATGTGTGCTGGTCACTATTTAGAAAATTATATACAGGAAAAATTAAGAATTAGGATGATGATATCTTATTGCAGAGAAGATTTTTTTTTTTTTTACTATTTCTGCAAGGTATCTAGAGGCAATACTTATGAATACTTATCATAATCCACATGCAAGGCTTTAATTTCCCTGAAACACACAGATGGCAGAAGTACTAGCTTTAACTCTATCAGCAAGCTTGTCTGTTCTGAATTGAGGTTGTAACCCTCTGGGATCCCAGGTAAAATGAATGCATGTGACGTTTTGGGGAGAGGTGACAAACAGAAGAATAAATCAAATATTCCATTTCAGGGCTTTGGTCGGCTTTGGATCTCAATTCATGTGCCTTTCAAGACCTGAGCTTCTTATCACAAATACGTTCAGTGCAGAAAGGGCTTTCCCTGCTGCGCTTACATATCTGAATTCTTACTTTCTTCTAGATTTAGGACCAGAAGTTCCCTTATATCTTTTAGCTCTTTGATGCTCTTTAGATTTTTTAAAAATATCTCAACCAAATTTTTCAGTTGCCTTCAACAAGGGGGCTGGTACTAATTGGCTGACCCTCTGTAATGGTAGTAGAAATTTCTAATATATTTTCTTTTCTAAAACCAGAGTGATCTTTTTAAAGTCTGTTGAGGATCTCCTGTTAAAGCCTTTTCCATGGCTTATCACTGCCCTTTGGATGGAGTCTGTACTCTTTATAAAATAAAGAGTCTTGTGACCTTACTGAGTCTTGTGACCTTCACCTATGCATTCAACTTCTCCCCATGCCTCCCTGCTTTTTACCCCACTACACATTCCGGCCTCCTTTCCATATAACTGCCAGGTTGTCACAAAGAAGTGACTTTCCTGCTCCTCTCTGCCCAGACACATTCACTCTTTTTTATCATATATATTTTTTTCATATAATTATATATATATATAATATGTTATATAAAATTATATATATATAATTTTTTTAAATTGGTGCCTTAGAGTTGTACGTAATGGTGGGATTTTTTGTTACATACTCATACATGCCCACAATGTAACAATATAATTTGGTTAATATAATTCCCCAGTATTTCCCCTCTTCCTTCCCCCTGGTCCCTTTCCTTTACTTTATTGATCTTTCTTTGATTTTCATGCGCACTCTTGCTCTGTAGCTCCACAGCTACTCCTCATTTGCTAACGTCAGTAGATAGCATCTTCTAAGAGATACTCTCTCGTCTATCCCTCTATCATTCTTGTTCACCAAAATGTGTTTATTGTTGTCACAGCATGTCTTTCAATTTATAATTATTTCATCCTTTGGTTTTTTGCTTATTTATTTTCTGTTACCCACTAAAATGTGTGCATCACTGGGTAAGAACACAATTCCAGGATCCAGCACTAGCACCTGGCATAGTGCAGCTGATCAATAAATAGCTCTTAATTTAATGGATATCAGACTCCATATTGTTTCTTATATCTATCATCTCATTGAATCCTCGGACCATCATTGAACAGCTGAGGAAAGTAACACTCAGAGAGGTTAAGTAACTTTTCTAAGGTGATAGAACTCACAAAATTGGTGTGATTTGGATGTAGTGTGGCTAAATTCAAATCTGTATTCTGTATGCTTCACTTTTACACTATACTTACTTTAAGAAAATCCAGGACCAGTGATATAGCTTAGTGGTGGCATACTTACCTAACATGTGTGAGGTCTTAGGTACAATCCCCAGTACTGTGACAAAAATAACAAGAAACTAGATTAATAAAACTCATAATTGGGAGCAGAAAAGTGTGGGGGGAATACTTTTCTTTTCAAAAGAATTAATCAATGGATTCTTTTGAATAGCACATATAATTCTATTTTATTTAAAAATTCACTTTTTCCAAGAAGATAAGCATGAAAATGTCATTTGTGTTTGGATTTCTTTAGAACCAGTACAAGAAAATGTAAAACCAAGATCTGTTAAATTCCTTCATTATCTTAAGAATA